TTGAATCTATGCAAACAACGAAAAATCACCATCTGAAGAAACTAAGCACCTCTTGCAACAACTTTAATTTCTTAGAAATGCATTCAATATCGTCGGTAATTCTAATAAAAATTTTAAGATCTGTCCTAATCTTTAGAATAACAGAATTTACCGATAAGGAANGAGTCTAGCCAACACAACAAACCAGGCTGCAGTGACGAAGTCAATACACCTAAAATGCAACTCTTCCATCATAAACCATGTGACATTAAACGATCGGATGGTGACCGGCTGATACTGGAATGAAAATTGGACAGTCGAGTTTTAAAATATTGAAGAAATGAATTACATTCTGACATATATGAGTAATATGGATCATTTTTAACATGCCAATTTATACATATTGAATCTATGCAAACAACGAAAAATCACCATCTGAAGAAACTAAGCATCTCTTGCAACAACTTTAAATTCTTAGAAATGCATTCAATATCGTCGGCAATTCTAATAAAAATTTTAAGATCTGTCCTAATCTTTAGAATAACAGAATTTACCGATAAGGAACAGCTGCAAACAGATTGCATGGAGAGTAGTCGATGGGAATAGCGCAGCATAGCCACAAAGTGCCGATGCAGCCAGCAAAAGCATTTGCATCACTCGTGGTGAGGTGGCCATTCGGATACTGCAATTAATTTCATTGAATGTACATTCACTCTTAAATTCACAGATTTCACTTTCTGATCATTATTTCTTCAGAAATACTAAACTATAAAACAAATGAAAAGATTGGAAATATCAAGTGGAGTTTACGGAAATATTAAGTGGAGCTTCTGATTAGAAAAACAAATTATTTTTATAGCAGACTCGAAAAGCTGCTGACCTGAACGTGCACACCAGACGTGTAATGAGAACACCAGCCCAAAACGTTGATGTTACTAATGCACCGTTCAACTGTGATGGTTGTTTGGGGAATATTCCAAGAATGTAGAGGGTCACCAACGATCCGAGAGACATTTCAACACCTCCAACCAAAATGAAGAAAAGTCTCGCCATGAAACGCCAACAATAGACGGCATCTTGATCTGTCCGATCTGTGTTATTCGTTTCCGGATCGGAACGTAACTGAATATTAATTAGAATGTGATGAACGATCTTACTAACTGGAACGAGACCATTTCTTATCTAATTCTGTATCAGCAATTTATCAAAATGAGCAAAACTGATTTGAATCATTTGAAAATAAACTTCATAAAAGTATTTTGTGAGTACCTTAGCGATTCG